AAAAAAAAAAAAAAAAAAAAAAAGTCAGATAGTGTTATGACTGGCTTTATTTTTTTTGCTCAGGATTGCTTTGGCTATTTGGGGTCTTAGCTTGTTCCATATGAATGTTAGGATTGTGAAAAGACAACCTACAGGAGAAAATATATGCAAACTATATATCAAACAAAGGAATAATATCCAGAATATACAAGGAACTCAAACAACTACACACTAAAAAAAAAAAATAACCCAATTAAAAAATGGGCAAAGGAGGTGAATAGACATTTTCCGAAGGAAGACATACGAATGGCCAACAGATACTTAAAAAAATGCTCAACATCACTAATCATCTGGGAAATATAAACTAAAATCACACTGAGATATCATCTCACCCCTGTTAGACTGGCTATAATCAAAAAGACTGAGAATAACAAATGCTGATGAGGATGCAGAACTCTTCTACACTGTTGGTGGGACTGTAAATTAGTATAGTCACTATGGAAAACAGTATGGAGGTTTCTCCAATAATTACAGATAGATCAACCACACAGTCCAGCAATCCCACTTGCTGGTATCTACTCAAAGGAACAGAAATCATCATGTCAAAAGGATATATGCACTCCCATGCTCATCATAGCTCTATTAACAACAGCCAAGATTTGGAACCAACCTAAATATCCATCAACGGATGACCAGTACTGTAGATTGGATGCCCTCCCCAACCTCACTGAAGCTTAAATCCCCACTGTAACTGCTGGGAGTGGGAAATCCTATTACAGTAATTGAAAGGTGGGGCCCTGAAGAGGTGATTACATTGTAGGACCATACTGTAGTGAATGGATTAATAATGGTGGTCAGGGACATGGTTCAGGGGGCTTTAAAATGAGAGTGAATACAGAAGTTAGTCTTTCTCTCTGCTTCACCATTTTTGCCATGTGAGACACCCAGGTAATTGTTGCGACCACTAAGACCCTCACCAGATGTGTTCCCTAGACTTTGGATTTCCTACCCTATGAAAAGTAAGCAATAAATTTTGTTTTCTTTATAAATTACCCAGTTCCAAGTATTTTGTTATAAGCAACATAAATGGACGAATACAACTGGATAAGGAAAATGTAGTGTATACACACACACACACACACACACACACACACACACACACAATGGAATACTACTCAGCCATAAAAAAGAATGAAACTCTGCCATTCACAGCAACATAGATGAGCGTGGAGAAAATTATGTCAAGTGAAAGAAGCCAGGCATAGAGGGAGAAATGTCACATGTCCTCACTCATAAGTGGGAGCTAAGAGAGAAAGAAGGAAAGAAAGACCACAGTGGTGTGTTTGACTTGCAGAGGGAGAGAACAGACCTGGGGTTAAAATGCACTAAAAATGCGATAGCTAAATAAGGCTGTCTTAACCCCAAAGTTGGTTATTTATGTTTCTTGGTAAAAGCAAATGAAAACAATAACATACCTAGCCAGAGGGGAGCGAAATGCTGCAGCTGGCGTGGGAAAATCCATAGTTCTTGTCTCAAGAACTGGTTTTCCTGGTATAAACTTTAAACTGTTTGGATTTGGGGTATCTTGTGTTTGAATAAACATACATCTCACTAAAAAAGAAAAAGAAGAAAGAATGTTATTCTAGAAAAAACAGTAGTTAACAAGTTCATGGACTATGAAGTGCTCCTTTTCAGAGAACCAGAAATAAGAAATATTGGAAAAAAAGAAAACTGGACATTATTGTCCAAGCTGACAAAATAAGAATTTATAAGGACAAGAAATATATTTAGCATAACTGCATAGAATTTTATATTAATACTCTGATTATTTAGTTATGTTATTCAACAGATTTCAGCAATATCCTACACTTAAGTAGGAAGACACAACATAATTTAGGAATCTTATATGTACATGTATTCTATTTTGTGACTTGGTACCAATGGCTAACATATTCATAATCTTAGACCATTATCGCTGTGATATTAATAGAGTAAAATGTCACATTCACTTTCTTTCAAAGTGCTACCATTCTTTTAAAGACAATAAAGGTAGCAATTTATAATAATAATAATAACAAATATTTATTATTTGCTTATTACAGGGTCAAGTGCTTTAAATGTATTTATGCCTTTAACAATCCTGTAAAGAAGGTATTATTATTATTCCCATTCTACAAATGAAGAAACTTAGGCTAGGAGATGTTGAATAACTTGTCTGATGGTACAGTTGGTAACATTATAAAATATCGCATACGTGGGAATCTGTGTGAATTACTTTCTGGAATATTTAATTTAAAAATATCTTTACAGGCTCTTTTCCTATATGTTTCTTCTAGAACCATGATTAGATTGAGAATGAATTCATTAAAGCAATAAAGAGTGAACAGATTCTTTAATTTCCTACTTTGCTGGTATGACAACAACTTGCCGGACAAAAGGATAGCATTGGTGTTTTAACAGTTTTAAATCTATTAAACAGACTCTGATTATTTATTACAAAAATAAACCTTCTGAGCAAAAAAAAATTCTCCATCTTTAAGCAGTATATTTAAATAGGATGACAACAGCATATTATAAAAACTAAAATTTACTGAGTACACATCATGTGCTGGGCATAGTGCTAAACACAATACATGTATTGCACCATTTAATCCTTACATCCTCCCAAGGAGGTACTGCTTTTATCCTATTTTATAAACGAGGAAACTAAAGCTAAAGGTCACTCAGTTTGTACGTGACAGAGCCAGGATTCAAGTGTGGACAATTTCCTAGTGCTGACTCTTAACCACTGTGCATACTGCCAGTCCTTATTTATTATTGCTAAGCATAGCAGGAAAATACATTTAAGATCAGTCTTCCTATCCTGTCATCATCTTCATACCACATAGTTTAAGATAGATAATAAAATATCAAAAAGCAACAGTTTTATTTTAAATCTGAAAGAGATTAAGTTTGGCAAAACATATGGCTGGTACGGAACTGCTTTTCTTAACCATTAGGGAGAAGGTTCTAATTCAACAGCTAAGTCGTTTTTGCACCTCGCCGTGCAATTGCAACTTACAGATGTTAAACCACTTCCTGTGTGAAGTAGAAATTGAAACTAAACTCCCATACATTCTGCTTAAGCTACTGTCCTAATCAAACATTAGCTGATGACTTGGTGACCAGGCAAATCCTAAAAAAGGGAAAATAAAAAATGATAACCTCAATGTCCAAGCACTTCATTTAAAATATTTATACCTCCAACCAAGACATTCTTCCGTAAATCTGTGTTTTAATTTTTCAAATGAAACATTTAAGAAAGGGCTGCCACCACTTTCTGTAAATAAAGCACACCAAGGTTCTTTTAACCCTGGTCTGAACCAATCAGTTCTTGCAGCCTTTCTTAACAATTTATTGATAACCAAAATCTCTGTACACACTAGGCATATTTGAAAAATTAAATCTGGCTTTATTCTACTCAAGCCATTTGAGTAAAACTACATCTACAGAAAGAAAAATTTTTAGAAATACTCGAAGGTAAAAGCTATAAATATTTTTTAAAAAGTCTTTTAAGAGCGTATAATCTATATATATTCTCTGAAATAGAAATTATGAAAATATTATCATCACACAACTTTTCTCCTTTGACAATGAACAAAGCTATTTCAAAAGACTAATTTGAATAAATATTTACCAAAATCTTTCCAATTATAGTCTAAATTGGGTTTAATTAGGTATTTCAAAAATGACTCCCAGGTCCATCAGCAAGAAAGATGTTCCAGAAAGTGTCATGAGAGTTACCACAGGACAGAAAGACTGCAATATAGTATTTTTTCCTCATAGATATACTAATAGGTATCTAAACAAGTAGGCATAGGCTCCTTAAAAATATAGATTAGTGGTGCTTAAAATCAATATCCACGACTAAAATCAGTGGGTTTCCAATTTGAAAAGCCTAGATGACCTCATAATTCAGTGCTACAATGTTTAAAAATCTAATTAAAGTGGTTTGATCTGCTAAGTTCTGCAATATTTATGACTATTCAATGACTCAAGGAGACAGGCAAGCCCACAGGAAAGCACTCCTCTTCTTGCCCCAGTCTACAGAACAGGTAAGGTCTCTACCCTGATTCAACTCATGCTCTTAGCCAAAGTCAAGCACATTCTAAACAAGAAGCTGTGAAGGAAAGGGAGACAGACTGAATCCATACGCTCACAACTTCATAACCACATAGAGGTATGCATTTACAAACATATACACACACATGTGCACACACACACACACTCCTCTCATCAAGCGTCCCTAACTACATTACAGTGGTCACATTTCAAATTCTTTTCAAATCCTATCTTCATACTATTTCCAATATTAAAGAAAATCAAAGTATGTAATATCAACAAGATTGTCAATAAAACCATAGTAATTAATTTTGATGAAATTAAAAAAAGTACATTTAAACTCCTACGTTCTAAGGTCTGGATGAAAGCCAGAAGTTTATTGATTTTAGGGGTATTCTTATACAAATAAGGAAAGCAGTAGTTTAAAATACATATGATTCTTTGAAACACAAACCCATTTATAACTTCTCTTTACAAAATTTTCATTTCAGAAATCATTTCTTGAGCAACTCTTATGTTCCAGGGGATGCGTTATACAAGATACTGAGATTTCATAGATCTATTGGACAATGTCCTCACAAATAACTAAGGTATGGTATTATGACAGAAAAAAACCCAGTATGTTTTTCTTATGAGCTTCTGAATAGAAAAGTTACAAATTCTCCTCTTTTATGATCCACTAGTTCCACTAGTTTCAGAAACATAATTTGCTCTTAAAGAGATAAACTTTTACCTGTGTTACATAAGGCTGCAGGTAGTGGGAAAAGTGGTCTTCGTACAAATTGATGCAAAGGCTGTTTCTTAATGGTGTACGGATTCATCATATGACAGAATCTGTACTTAAAAACAAATAATAAATGGGATTTTAAGAGATCTAATCTTTTAAAGTCAGTCTCTACTTCTCATATATAAAAAAAAGACATGTAAAATCTAAACATAACCAGCAATAATTATGCAGATAATTACAGAGCTGACTTTTCATTTTCCATCTACAACATTATTTCCTCTTACTTAGGCAAGCAATATCTACAAATGATTCAGAAACAGGTACAGCTCAAATGGAAATTCATTGCCTTGATAACTGGGTGTACGCAGGGCAGAGTAACATCCGAGTATAAGAAACAGAAATGTATCTATGTTAGTGATTTATAACCTGGAGTCCCAGACTCTTTCTTATGCATGAAGGAGGCAAAGAACTATAAGCTTTTACTTCTTCTTTTAAAAAATTTTAAAACTAGGTAATAGAGTCACATGGTTCAAAATTGATAAGGACAAAAATTATACACAGTGAAAAGTCTCCCTCATATTCTGTCCCCTACAACCATGTTTCTCTCTCTAGAGATAACCTATATTACCTGTTTTGAAAAGTATTTCAATACTTCAAAAAATTTAATAGAAGTTCAGATCCATACCGACCAGCCACACACAAAAAAATTAAAAATAAATAAATTTTAAAAATCTAATAGAAAGTACACTATTGTCCTCCACACTGCTAAAACAGCCAATCATGTTTACATGCTTTTTGACTGGAAACGTATTAACCCAGAGTTGTAATTTTACTATGATAGAGAAGCATTAATTGGCTATTTTATGGCTTTGACAGATTAAAAACAAAGGGAGAAAGGAAACAAATATTACCAGAAAAGGAAATAAAAGGAGATTTGAGTAGTGAAAAATCTTAGAACCCTATTGCAAGTTACTTTAAGATGCAGTTTACTTTAAAGTATTGCTATCCATTACAACTGTCATTTCACAGGAGCCATTGAGGAATTTTAAGCACAGGAGACACGTTTGTGATCACACACGATAACTTAAAAAAAAAAATTCTATGATTATTTTCCACCTAAAATAGGAAGTGACAGACTTCACATCACATTCTTTTCTTACAAAACCACAATTCTGCATGTCAAAGAGTGAGAACCAATTAAGTGGAAAACAGATTACCTAAAATTTTTCCTGACTTCAGTTATCTTTAAATGTGATTTATAAGCAAAAATCTACTTCACTGGGACACTGTAGGACTGTAAGCCATACAAAGTTTCTTAGATGCTACTGGAGAAACTAAAGGACCGGCCTGGAAGATTCAGGAGAATTAAGTAATCACTAGTGACATCGTTAGAAACAACACTGAATGGGGATTCAAGGAATGTGTGAAGCCCTGACTGCCATTCCCCATACCAGAGTTGGTCACAGTAAGGTCTGTGACCACTTTAAGTTCTGACTCTATTACAGCACTCATGACTTTATCGTTATTTGCTAATGTCTTTCTTACTAGGCTGCAAACTCGTTAAGAGGAGAGACTGTCACATCTATGTCCCCAGCTGCTAGCACTGTGGCCTCAGTTTCTCATCTCTACAACAAGGCTAATATTCGCAGCTACTGCTCATAAAGACTGGGATGATGGGTCCAGATAATCCGGTAAAGTGCTTAAATCAGTGCCAGGCCATGCAGTAAATGCTCAATAAATGGTAGCTCCTACCATTATTATCATGGAATAGTTGCCCAATAATTACTTATTAAATGAACGAAGTTCAAGATTTGGGGTGAAAACACCTTTTTCTATAGCTCACTGTCTAAATCTCCCTGTGAATATTCTGGAATTTGGAAATACATTGGAAAACCAGTATTCTTACCCTTTCAGCCCAGGGAAAAGGCAGCAGGGTGGATAAATAAGACGCATATTTTGACAGAGAGATAGGTTTAAAGTTTAAAATAAAAGTATGAATTAAGTTAATTATTCAAGGAAGACATCTACTCAAACATATGAGGGGGAGAAGGGGAGTAACTAACCAAAAAATCTTTCTGCTAACTTAATATTTTTAAGAAATGCATTTAAACGTCAACAGCCCCATTAACACTAAAACCTCTAATATGCAAGATATCAAACTCTGCTAGGCCTTTTCCTCCAGAAGTAAAATCAGGGTCCGAGACCTCCATAAAGTCCACTAACTAATGTTGACAGGTGACAATGGGAGGAGAGACTCAAAGGCATGCCTTAGGTAAGAAGGAAAGATAAGGGAACGCAGTAGTCTAAAGGGGCCGGGGCGGGGGGGTACCTAGGAGTCTGGATTCTCCTTAGAGTTCCATCCCTGAGAAGCTGTGTGACCTTGCACACGTCACGTCCCCTTTTGGGGCCTCACTGGGAAAATGAGGAAATGAGACAAAGCATTTTCTTCCCTTCTGTGTGATGTTCTGATTTTGTGTTTAATAGAGGAGGGAATGCAAGTGGTGAAAGGGCTAGGAGCCACACGATTTAAAACCAGCTCCTCCGTTCTGTCTCTAGAGCCGGTCCCTGCGACCTTCCGGCCCGAAGGAATGCAGGCTCCGGGTCTCAGAGCCTGGCAGGAGGCTCCACTGAGTCCGTCAGAACTGGAGGCACCGAGCTGCCTTTCCGACAGCTTCAGGGATAACCCCAACTGCGGTGATGCGGCGGACCCAAGGGCTCCATCAGATGCACTACCCCCGTCCGTCCTTAAGAGAAGGTCGGCGAGGCGGCAACCGCTCCTCTGGCTAAGCCCAGCGGCACCCCTATTCGGAGCTCCAGGCTCGTCACCTACCGCCTGCGCAGCCCCATGGCAGCAGCCGCAGCTCCCCAGCCCCTCCGGGCCGCCGCCGCCATCTTAGTCGGAGAGGGCGCAGGCGCCGACAGTTCTCGCCCCTTCGCAGAGCCTCCGGAGTCCCGCGCAGGCGCAGGCTGGCCGGAAGCTGAGCAGGCCCTGGGAAGAGCGCCCACTAGCGGCCGCGGGCGACGCTGCTGTGGCTCAGGGTCACGGGCTTGCGCTGCGCTATTTGCAGCCTTTGCTTACCTACTGCGTCAGCCTGAACGAGGGGGACCGGCGGAGGGGTAAAAATAATAATAATAAAATAAATAAAACAAATCTTTGCTATGCTTGCGCAGGCGCCCTCAGTAAGGCACGCAGCATTCCGTACGCTTGCACGGAGTCGTTCTTTACTTTTTCGTTTAGCTGGGGGTTCCTCGCTGGCTCTAGTCCTGCGTTTAGAAAGTTGTTCCCCACCCTTGAACCTGCTCCGTTCCCTCTGTGGGGCCCTGCTCGCCCTCCAGACCAGGTCAGGGACTGGTCCCCCAAGCTTTCCGGAACATTCCTTCCGTAGGGTTCTCGCCTTTCTCCTACCCTTCTCCCATGGGACTGATGTGGCTCTGTCTTAATCCTTCCTTCAGGCTGGGCTTGTGGGCCACAGCTCGGACCAACCCGCACAGAGGACGCGCCTAGTTTACCGAGCCAAGTATAAAAGCCCATCAATTACTCTTTCAGAACCTTCCTAGGGTATTCGGTTTTCTGTAGGACAGAGGCTCTCGAAATGTGGAGGGCGGAGCGGTAGGCAAAGAAAAGGGAGGAACACATTAGAAATGCAAATTCCCGGGCCTCACCTGGACCTACTGAGTCAGAATCTCGATAGGTGAGGCCCCAGTGATCTGTTTTCGCAAGCCCTCCAAGTGACCTTGATGCAGAATAGAGTTTGAGAACCACCGCCCTCGGAGATACACACACGAGTACAGTACTGGTGTCTAGACCGGAAACAGCACACCTGTTGAACAGGTGGAGGCCACAGGAAAGACAACGCTAGTGGTTTCTAAGGCACGGAATTTGGTATATATACTATCTTAATTAAGAAAGGGGAAGGTGAGAAGGGCAGCTATAGGGAAACAAATGATTTTTAGGAAAGGTAAATGGGCCTTTAGGCGAATAGATGTGAGATTTGACAGTTTTGTGAGAATGTCTGTTTAGGTAACTTCTAATCCTGGCGCTGACTTCTCTCTAGTGATAGGAATTAATTTTCTCTCCAGTGATAGGAATTAATCTTTCTTGGTTGCAAAACTCCTGGGGAGGGGGTTTATGACAGCTGAATTCTTTCTGGGAGGCTTTGCTTTTAGGAAGAAAAGGGAAGTTCAGAGGAAAAACAAAAAAACCTCTTCACAGACATTCTCACAACCAAATTCTTACCATCTCCTTGGGTCATATTTTTCTGTGAATTACCATATACGTACATGAACAAAAATCGTTTTTTTCTCTTGCTTATCTGTCTTTTGTCAATTTAATTCACAGGTCCCAATTAATTCTAAAAGGGTAGAAGAAAAGTTTTTCCTCCCTAACACTGTATTAATCTTGCCTCCTCTTTCCCATAGCAGAAGAGGCATCTTTCTTACCCAAAGTCGGCTCTCCATCAACCCCACTCCCACTCCCTGCCATTCCTGGGGATTTTTGTCACATTTCCTTTTTTTAAAAACTAAACTTTTTTTTTAAACGATGAGCGGTAAGGGATCTTTTTTTTTTTTTTTTTTTTTTTTTTTTTGGA